CCTGAAGACAGTGGGACAAGCTTCCTCATGGCCCCCCAGGCCCTCTTGTCCTAAGCCTGACCAGGCTAGGCCCCTGCCTCTGTAGCTATCATCCCACTGTAAGCCTCACTCTCTGGGCTCCAGGCACATAGTCCACCTTCCCTTCCTCCCCAGGGCCTTTGCACATGCTGTTCCCTCCTCCAGGTACAGGTCCTAACCTCCTTTCACCTATTCACTCCTCACCTTCCCCCAGGCCTTGATTTTCCTGGAAAGCCCTCCTCACCACTGATCACATCCATCCTGGGACTTCTCTGTGTCACTTACTGGGACCTCAACAGGCTAACAATGAGATGAGCTGTGGAAGGCCCACATCCCTGGCTGAGGGCTCCACGCCCTTGCCTCCCACTGAGTGCTGAGCCTGGCCTGAGGCTGGCATTCCGTCATGCTGGCTGAGGGGACACGTGCAGAGGATGAGGCTACACAAGGCCTACAGCAAACCCAACCTGGGCAGTCTGAGATATAGATGCTGAGCTCATACACCTGTGCCAGAACCAACAGAAGGCACCCTGTGGGAATGTTCTGGATCCAAACCTGGTAATGGTTACCCAAGCATACACACAGAGCAATACCAGCGCAAGGTACACTTTACTGTATAACTGTTGCACCTCAATTAAAAAGTGTAAAACAGTTTTTCTGAAAGCATCTTCTGGGCTGAGGCAGGAGGATTGCTAGATGTAACTGAGGAGCTGAAGACCAGCCTGGGCAACATAGCGAGACCCAGAAATTTTTTCTTAAAAAAATTTGTTTTTTAATTAGCCAGGCACAGTGGTGTGTACCTGTAGTCCTAGCTACTCAGGAGGCTGAGGCAGGAGAATCACTTGAGCCCAGGATTTCAAGGCTGCAGTGAGCTAGCACTGTTCCACTGCACTCCAGCATGGGCAACAGAGCAAGACCCCATCTCTCTATAAAAAAAAAAAAAGGCATTTTCTTCAGTGTCAAGTTTCTCTTCCCAGGAATCTTATCTCCCACATATTGACACACAATTAACAACTGAATAGGAAACTGCCACCTGGGAGATGATTCTGGACAGTGTGGACAAGGCCACATCACTTGGACCCTTGTGTCCTGGCTTCTTGGGCAGAACCCTCCTGCCCTCTGATCCTCCTGGTGAAGAGGGGCAGATGGGGCAAGGCTGAGGCTGGTCAGGACTCACCACAAGCTGCCACAAAAATCCAAGGTGGAGCCCTAATGTCTGACGTCGCATCAGAGCTCTGCCAGGCCTCACCATGTGACCCAGGGCAGGGGTTTCCTGTTGGTAAGGCATGGACGCTGGCCTCTGTGGGCACCTCCGATGCCTGTGAGTCTGCCCCCCTGCCGCCCCTCTGCTGCCCTACAGTGGGTGCTTCCTCAGCCTGGGAACCCTGTGCTTCATGTTCCAGGCCTCTGCCCTCTGCACGCACCCCTCCACTCTCTAGCTGCTTCCCCAGTTTTTAAAACCTTCACGGTGGTCTACACCAAAACCAGATTGTAAGGTGGGAGGTTATGCGACGGCTCACACCTGTAATCCCAGCACTTTGGGAGGTTGAGGTAGGCCGATCACCTAAGGTCAGGAGTTCAAGACCAGCCTGGCCAACATGGTAAAACCCTGTCTCTACTAAATATATGAAAATTAGCCAGGCATGGTGGCACGCGTCTTGTAGTCCCAGTTACTTGGGAGGCTGAGGCAGGAGAATCACTTGAACCTGGGAGCCAGAGGTTGCCACGAGCCAAGATCACACCACTGTACTCCAGCCTGGACAAGACAGTCAGACTGTCACCAAAAAAAAAAAAAGAATGTAAGGTTGGAAACCTAGAGTCCTAGCACCCAGGCAGGGGTGGAGGGCCCAGACTGCTCAACCTCCAGGGATGGCTCTTCAGGGTCGCCTACCATTTCCTTCCCTTGCAGGTGTTTCTGTGGATCCAGTCTGTGCAGGTGCTATGGGCATCCAGCCATGGGTAGGAGGCAGGGTGCAACAGAGGTCACTGCTGGGGAGACCCAGATCCCTTAGGGGCCCCTCCCAGAGTCAAGTACCTGATAGACTAGGGGGTCAGTGGCTGCGGTGCCTCAGGCCAGCCCCTGAGGAAGAGCAGCCACTCCGCTCCAGACGTGAAGTCCCTGCACTCCGCGCTGCACTGTGCCTGGGTGAGTGGGCTCTGCAGCACAGAGGGCCTCAGGTGAAAGTGGAGAGGTGGGCGTGGTAAGCCAGAGCACAGCCAGAGGCAGGCGGAGAGGACAGAATGCGCTGGTGTCCCAGCTCTTACGCAGTAACATAGCAGCAAGAGAAAGACAGCTGCTCTTCCCTCTCCAGGGGAGTTGAAGGCCCTCCTCATGCCAGGCACACAGAAGGCTTCAGAGGCCACGAGTTAGCAAGCTCCCACCTGGCACAGCCCGTCCACAGAGCTGCTCTTCCTACCATGTGTGTTCACTTACAGACAGCAGCGGGGACAGCTGGAAGCTCTCAGAGCCAGGTATGCAGCAGGCACTCAATAAATGCTTGTCATGTGACTGGTATATAAAAATGCACTGTCCAGGGAGAAAAAGCAGAAATGGAAGCCAAGGCCTAAGGGCAGTAGCTCCTCTCATAAGAATGAGGCTGGCGCTGCAGAATCTGCCCACTTTTGTCCACCCCTTGGACACTACCTGGATCAGGCCCCATCATCTCCCACTGGAACCCTCCCCATAACATCCTAGAAATGTCCCTGCTACTACTGATGCCTCCTCAGGCCACCCCACAACCAGCTCTCCACAGAGCAGCCAGGGTGATCTCAGAACAAGCGGGAGCCCAGACCAGCAGAAGGAAAAAAGATGTGGGCAAGGGTCAGCTGGGGACTCACCAAGGTGACTTCACACCCAGGAGGCAATTAAAACACTGACTTCTCCATACAGTCCAGGCAGGGGTCTGAACAGAAGAATGCAACACCACCTACAAAACATCCTTGCCCAAAAGTTCAAATCTGAATCTGATCACACTTCTAGATCAATCCACTGACTCACAGGAAATGCAAAGGTCAGAGCAACTTGCAAAGGTCACCATCAGCAGAACCCAGGCAAAGGGAAACCCCACAGTTCTTCAACAACAGATCCAAGTATAGAATGGATAAATAAGAGAGAGATGAGAGAGAGGAAGGAAAGCCTAAGGGCTGTGAGAAGCAAAACCCAACCATGAGAATGTGCCGCTCTTGACTGGACCCTGGTAATTTGAACACTGAGTGGGTATGTGAGGATGTCAAAAAATCATTATTTGTCAGACATGACTGTGATCCCGTGGTTATGTTGTTTAAACTCACCCTTTCATGAACCTTTGTACATTGTTTGTGGGAATGTAAATTAGTACAGCCACTATGGAAAACTATATGGAGATGCCTCAGAAAAAACAAAATAGAAGTATCATATAATTCAACAATACCACTACTGGGCTGGGTATATAGAAGAAAGGAAATCAATATATCAAAGAGATAGCTGCACACCCATGTTTACTGCAGCACTACTCCCGATACCCAAGACATGGCATCAAACTAAGTACCCATTAATGGACAAATAGATTTTAAAAATGTTATACACAGTGGAGTACTATTCAACTGTAAGAAAGAATGAGATCCTGTCATTTGCAGCAACATGGATGGAACTGGAGGTCATTAAGTTAAATGAAATAAGCCAAGCGTGGAAAGTCAAAAATCACATTCTCACTCATAGTGGGGAGCTAAAAAAAAGTGGATCTCATGAAGATGGAGGGTAGACGGGCAGTTATCAGGGTTCAGGAAGGGTAGGGAGGATGGGGGAAGATAGGTTGAGTAACGGGTACAATACATAGTTAGACAGAAGAAATGAGATGTAGTATGTGACAGATGAATATGGTGACTATAGTTACAATCTATCGTACATTTCAAAATACCTATGAGAAAAATTCAACTATTTTTTTTCTTTTCTTTATACTTTAAGCTATTCAAACTTGTGCACTTAGATAACTCAACTATATCTAAAGTTAAATATTTAAGGCTGGGTGCAGAGGCTCACACCTGTAATCTCAGCACTTTGGGCGGCAGAGGTGGGGGTGGGAGGATGGCTTGAGGCCAGGTGTTCAAGACCAGCTCGGGCAACAAAACAAAAATTTTTTTTTTTTTGGAGACAGAGTTTCGCTCTTGTTCTGCATGCTGGAGTGCAATGGCACGATCTCGGCTCACCGCAACCTCCGCCTCCTGGGTCCGGGCAATTCTCCTGCCTCAGCCTCCTGAGTGGCTGGGATTACAGGCACGCGCCACCATGCCCAGCTAATTTTTTTGTATTTTTAGTAGAGACGGGGTTTCACCATGTTGACCAGGATGGTCTCGATCCCTTGACCTCGTGATCCACCCGCCTCGGCCTCCCAAAGTGCTGGGATTACAGGCGTGAGCCACCGCGCCCGGCCAATTTTATTTATTTTTTTAAACAAAATTTTTTATTAGCTGGACATGGTGGCACACAACTGTAGTCCCAGCTACTTAGAAAGCTGAGGGGGGAGGGTTGCTTGAGCCCAGGAGATTGAGGTTACATGAGCTATGATCCTGCCACTGCACCCCAGCCTGGGTGACAGAGCAAGACCTTGTCTCAAAAAAGTGATCTAGGATTTGGCTTACAGTCACCCTAGGGATTAGGAGGACATACAAAACAGGACCCCCACGAGGTGATGCTAACAAAGTTATGTGATGGGAACATGAAATTCCCATCTCCATCATCTCTTCTGGCTTATTTTGTACAGGTTTCAAATCTTCCATGATGAAAAGGATATCTGTAGTTGTTGTTTGTTTGACATCTCGGGTCTCACTAGAGGAGTGAGGGAATGTACAGAGGTGGGAGCACTTCTGTGGCACAGGCCTGGCCTACAACGAGAGATTTCCAACAATTCCCCAGATGTTTGGGGTGTTCTGCAAGTGCTCATCACCAGCTTCCTTTTTCAAGTAAACTTTTAACCCATTTTTTAAAACTTCAGTTAACAAACACCCACCTCACATCCAGAAGGGACAGGATACAGTGCACTCTGTGACCGAGGCTGGCCCACGCACTATTTGTGATGGTCTGTGAAAGATAAGTACAGAATCGAAAGTCAGAGTGTATAAACTTTTACAGTTTCATCATTGAACACAGCCACCTCATGTCCGTGGAGTCTAATAAGCAGATAATGGGTTTATCTTTTCATATATCTTCAATTTTACTATAACAATTTTCATATGTTAAAAATTGGCCCATGAAAGATTACAATTTTAAAAAGAATCATCTAGTCTTTCACCAAGGAGAGTTTGAGAACCACTGTTATGGACCAGACATTGATCCCCTGGAGACCCCAAATCCATCCACTTAGGAGGTTGGCCAGAGATGCCAGGACAAAGCTTCCCTTCCCACCGTCTGCTGTGCCAACTCCAGTATTTCCTATAAATACATCACAGGCACTGCAAAGCCTATTTGATTTTCTGTGCTCATTTGCACACTTTCACAGCAGTACAAGCAGAGCCACTTCCAGCAGACACCTCTGTCACTCAGGCCAGAGTGCAGGGGCAGGATCATAGCTCTCTGCAAGGTCCAGGTTGTGTGACGCGTGCTCCTGTTAGTCAAAGCATCTTGGCCAGCCATGGTTAGCCAGCCAGCTTTCACACACACGCCCACCACCGTTTCCCTTCAAACTTCTGGATGGGTTTAACTGCAGAGGCTAAGACTGCAAGGTGAGCTGTTTGAAAAACTGACTGCTTCTTTGTATCAACTGGAAATCACTCTATCACTAAAGTACTGAAATAAATCAGGAGCTGGGGCTAGTGTAAGACATCAACCTGCACTTATGGCCCTGGTTTCTAGTGTGCTCCTGAAAATGGCATCACTGTTCTAACTATGACACACACACACACACACACACACACACACACACACACACACATCACAAGCATAAAGTTATAAAACAAACTCACAGCTGGGCACTGTGGCTCACGCCCGTAATCCCAACACTTTGGGAGGCCGAGGCGGGCAGATCACCTGAGGTCAGGAGTTTGAGACCAGCCTGGCCAACATGGTGAAACCCCGTCTCTACTGAAAATCCAAAAATTAGCCAGGCGTGGTACAGGGCACCTGTAATCCCAGCTACTCAGAAGGCTGAGTGAGGAGAATTGCTTGAACCCAGGAGGCAGAGGTTGCAGTGAGCTGAGATTGCACCATTGCACTCTAGCCTGGGAGACAAGAGCGAAACTCCATCTCAAAATAAATCAGTAAAATAAACTCACACTAATATGGAAGGTCGCCTGAGTCTGTGTCACGCATTGAGGTTCCATGTTCACGTTTCACTACATTAAAAGAGAACTGAAAGTGGCTGGTAGTGAAGATCCTTAGGTTGCAGCCTCCACTCTGCTACCACTCATGGTTTAGCATCCCTGGGCCTGTTTCCTCATCTATGCAATGAAAATGTAACCACTCATTTTATAGGTTCTGTTGAGGGCAAAAGAAAATAAGAGCTAAAAATACACTTCAAAGAATTAAAAGGACCAGGTGCAGCGGCTCATGCCTGTAATCCTAGCACTTTGGGAGGCCAAGGCAGAAGCACTGCATGAGGTCAGAAGCTCAATATCAGCCTGGGTAACACAGCAAGACCTCGTCTCTAAAAAATAAAAAAAGAAAGAAAAAATTAGCCTTGCATGGTGGTGCACACCTGTAGTCCTAGCTACTTGGGAGGCTGAGGCAGAAGAGTCGCTTGAGCTTAGTGAGCTAAGACTGTACCACTGCACTCCAGCCTTGGCAACAGAACTACATACTGTGTCAACAACAAAAAAAAAAAATGGAAAGAAAAGTGCAAACCTAAAACTACACGGTGATTTTATCAAGCTTACAGCATGGCCTGAGTTTCATCCTCCCTCTTCTTACACACCCTCACTCATTCCATTTCTTCCTCCATAAAGTGCAGTGCTACATCTATGACCAATAATATTATTGACAACAAATAAATTCAAGTATCATGGATCAAAAAATATACCACCGACCCTGCTGCATGTGCCCAATGTAGGGCCCACCATAGGGTGATAGGGTCCTCCCTGCGGCCCTGCGAGGCTAACGCCGTCACTCCTGTTTACAGATGGAGCTTTGAGAGGAAGACAATAGTACCTACGTCCTCTGCATTCCAGGCTTCCTTGGAGGCCCCAGTGTGATAACAACAATGTGAAAATCGCTGCAAGTTCCTAGGAGACAAGGCACAGGGTCCACAGCCATGAACAGGACACATGTACGTGACCTCACAGGAATCAGTAGGAGTGCTATTAAGGATGAGTTAACACCTGGCGTGAGTGTGGGCTTTCTTGGGCCAGCCCCTCCTACTGGGGCAGAGAAAATGCAGTTTTGTAGCCCTGCTGGGAACAGTGGGGTGCAAGCCCTCAGTGTGGCTTCAGGGTCTCTCCCTCGAAGCAGGGATTAAAGGTGACCCTGCCAAACTTAACCAGATGGAGCAGAACATGGGGTTGAGGGAGCACTGAGGCAAGGAGTGCTCCCAACAGCTCCCCTCCCAGCTCAGGCTCACCACCGGGGGCCCTGACAGCCAGCCAGTAGGTGTCAGAAACGGCTCACTCTTCATGAGACAATGAATCCACTGTTGACCAGCCAGGGCCTTGATTAATATTTGCAAAAGAATGATGTGGAAAATTCCACCTGTGTGGGTGGAGACTGGACCCGCGGGACATGTCAACAACCCTGATGGCCTTGTTCTTCCAGGGATGGATCAGGCCAAGAAGCAAAGGTCTGAATAACAATGACTGAATCTGGAATTAAGGTGATTCTTGGAACATAGGGAATTTCCCTTTTTTTTTTTTTTTTTTTTTGGTTCTGCCTCTCCTGCCCCTAAATTTACACAGCACTTGTAAATCCTTCAACTTGCTTTCCTATCTACTGTTTCTTCTGAGTTTCCTAACCGCCCTGCTGGGGAGACAGAACTGATGTCAGCCCCACGTTACAGATGGAGAAACTGAGGCTCCAGTTACAGATGGAGAAAATGAAGCTGAAGACCAAAAGCCTCACTCAAGGCCAACAGATGGTGACTGAGTTACAGAACCAGGTGGTCTGGAAGCCAGGCATCTCACCATGCCGTGGCTGCACAGAGCCTGTCCCGAGGGTCTTGGTCAGAGCCATGGGGACTTGACACAGTGGTTTTCCAGGCTCTGGCAGAGGCCCTGAGCTTTGCTCTGCTTATGAAGAAACAGGAGGAAGTTCAAACCACCTCCCCTGGGTGGGCAGGCTCCGGCACTGGCCTTGGAGGAAGGTATGTGTTAATTTATTCATCCATTCAAGCATTTAATGAGCACTTACTAATCCCCCAGATAGGAAGGCACACTGTGGGGTAGCTCTTTCAGAAACCCAGACCTAGCAGAATTTATGACCGAAGGGAGAAAGTCAGAAAATCTCCAAAGGTCGCTTCTCTCATAGACTCAAATCACTTCATTGCCCCTATCACCACCCCATTGTACAGAAAAGGAGACTGTTCTGAGAAGAGCAGTGACTTGCCAGGGCCTCCAGTTCAAAACGCCACAAAGTTATCTGGCTTACGCAGCCAAACAAATCACGTCCCTTCCGGTAGGCCAAGTGGGACCTCTCATGCAAGGCCACTTGAGGCATGGCCTTCTGCAGGGAGAAAATCCCCCAAGGGGACAGGCGGACACACCCTGTTTGTCCACTTCAACCTCCAGCTGTGGCTTCAGGGCCCTTCACACCCTCCCCTCCCACCCCCCACTCCACAGCCCGGTATCACCCATCCCTAAGCCCCAGGGGGGCCAGCAAAGGCCATTCTGAAGCCAGAACAGCACCAACCAGCCTCAGGCCAGTGCCCTTGGTTTCTCTACCTCATCTGACCCCACAAGCTCCTCCCTCACTACTGGGCTTTCTTGCTGCAGCCCCTCCCAGATCTCCCCACCTCCTCTCGAAAGCTCTCCTCCCCAGGGCTCCATCCTCCTCTCCTCTCTACTGACTCCTAAGAAAGTCTGACTCACAAGCCCTGTCTCCAGGCCTAACCTCTGCATCCCTGCTTGTCTCAAAGCCCATGTGCCCATCAGCACCAAGCTCACCGCAGCAGGGCCAGCCCTGGTGCACAGCTGAAAAGCCAGCACAGCCTGGAGCCTGGCCGACAGCACAGAATCAGATACTCACGGAATGAAGGACTAGCCCTCTACCTGCCCTGCAGGGGCAGTTTTCTAAAACTGAAAACTGACCACCGTCTAAGCCCATAGCACTGGTCCTCAGCACCACGAGACAAAGTTCACAGTCTTGAACTTGCAGACGAGGCTGTTTTCATCTGGGCTTCCGCAGCAGGGCGGGCACTTGTGTCCTTGAATATACTCCTCACGGCGCTCATCCTCACTCCAGGAATACCCATGAGCCAGCACCTATGTGTCGTTCACCTTTGCACCTGGCACCCAGCAGGCGTACTTAGAGCTGAAAATCTTCTCAGGGGCCACAGGACCCAAAGCAACTCAGAGGTGGAATGAGGGGCTCAGGGTGGCCCAGCCCCCAGCCACAACCTCAACTGAGTTCCCTGGTCAGGAACCAGAACAATTCTCCGAGAACGCTACCTGCAGCTCCACACGTTTGCACGTCAGAGCCCAAACCCCTGGCTGATCCCCACTCCACGCAAGCCCTAACCAAGCTGGTAGGTGGGCCAGGCCTGACACACAAGTAGAGCCTCAGCTAAAACAGCTGCTTGACTCAGCACAACCTCTCACCAGCTGACAACACATCCCTAAGTACTATACCCCTCTCTAGGACTCCGTCTTCCCATCTGTAGAATGAAGCTAATTCCACCTACAAGTTTAAATGGCCCTGAGTTGGTCACCGCAGTCCAGCCTCTGACTCCACTGTTAGCCCAGCTGATCTTTGTGAACTCTCCCCCAAACCACTGCGCCTCAAAGGATGGTCCCGGGGCCACCCACCCACGAATTACAGGGGCTTGGGTTGAGGTTGCTTAAATGCAGATCCCAGGCCTGGCCCGGACTCGCCGTCCGGATTTCATTTTAGGCGGCGCTCAGAGATCCCGGGCCAGGGAAACTTGAGAACTGCAGCTCCAAGTCGCCAGTGCTGACGGCTTCCGCTCCGGGAGCCCCAGGTGCTACTGTCCGAACTCACTTGGTGGAAACAGGCATTTACCAGAAAGCCTGGGGTCGGCGCTGGGCATTCCTACCGCTCTAACACCGCGTAGCTGAAAGAACTCGCCCCCTCCAAGGAGTCCGTGTGCCTCCACAGCCCCGGTTCCACCCCTTCCACTACGCGGGACGGGGCGGTTGTGTAAAGCGAGCCCAGGTCTCGGCGTCCAGCCTGGCCTCGGGTCCCCAGGCCTCTCTGGGCTCCCGGCCTGGCGGCGCCGCTGAGGGCGAGTTCGGGGGTGGTCGTGGCGCATCCGCGGCTACTCACCCGGGGCGGCTCGGCCGAGGGCCTGACAGTCGAGGCCCGGAGCGGGCGGCTGGGCCCGGCCCCTGCTCCTCCGCACTTTAACCGGCGGCGCCGGCGCCGGCGCCCCGCGCGCTCTCTGCGTCCGGAAGGGGCAGGCGGCCGTTCCGACCCGCTCTGCCCCGGGGCCGCTAACTGGACGCCAAGCTAGCCAGGCTCGGGCGAGGCGTGCGCGGCCCGAGGGCGGGGGCGGCGGGGCACCTGGCTCACTGCACGCAGGTGTGTGCGGGGGCCGGCGCGCGCCACGAGCTCTGCCCGTGCGGAGACAGCCCACCCCTCCGAGCCCCTGCGGGCGAGAGCGCGGCGACCTGCCCAGATGGGAGGGGGCCGGCGGGCCCGCCCTCTGTTCGGGTGGCTGGGCTGGGCCGGCGCTGCGAGAGGCGGAGCCGAGAAGGGGCGGCCCCGGGGCACCGGGATAAGAGCGCAGCGTGCGGCCTGCCGGTGTCCCGCGCGGTAGCTCCGCGATGTCGCTCGTGCTGCTGAGCCTGGCTGCCCTGTGCAGGAGCGCCGTACCCCGAGAGCCGGTAAGCCCCCGTCAGCACCCCTTCCCGCGTCTCCTAGCCCTGGAGCCCAGATCCTGACGTCGTCTGACCCGCGTGCCGAGGCTGCCCCGAAAGAGTGCGCGGACCGTCGGCTCGAAGGGCACGCCTGTACCCTCTGGGCAGCCCCTGACATCGGCCGGCGTCAGGCTGCTTGAGTCAGGGGCGTGGGAATCAGGCAGACCCGGCGTCAGATGCCACCCTGTACTGTTAGTTCTGTGATTTATGCTCACCACGCTTCAAGTCCTGAACGGTAAAACGAAGGGCAGTACCAAACCCACCAGGGCCTCTTAAGGAACGACGACGGCAAGGGGCCTGGCACGTAGTCGTCACTAGTTACTTTTACTTGGGGTCTGCTCACCTGTTGGAGCATAAGAACTTTCTCCACTAGCATTCCCTCCCTTTTTGGCCATGTTGATTGCCTTCTTCATTCGTGAAGGCAGTTTCCTTTCTTCCCCAGTGCCCTGAATGACAGGGAATCTTCTAGGTCACTGAAGAGAAAATAGCTCATCCCCTAAATAACCTTTGAAATGATACCTCTGCCCTCTTAGCATATAGCATATAGCATCAAGCTCGGTAGTTACCTGTTAGCAGAAAAACTCCATTCAGTGTTTCCTGATGTCTTCAGCTCCTTCCCTTCTGTGTCAGTTCAGAGGCTCCCTCGGCTTTTTGCACTGGAGGGAAGAATACATTCCTTTTGCTGTAGTTGCTACAAGGCCAACAATTTGAGCTTGGTAGCATTTAGGGTTGTTGCTTGGCTTGTCTCACTAGGCCTTTGATAAGAACTCAGCTCCTGGTATGATGGCTTATTAAAAAGAAAAAAGAAAAGCCTGGTTGGGCACAGTGGCTCACGCCTGTAATCCCAACACTTTGGGAGGCGGAGGCAGGTGGATCAATCACCTGAGCTCAGGAGTTTGAGACCAGCCTGGCTAACAGGGTGAAAACCCATCTCTACTAAAAATACAAAAAGTAGCCAGGCAGGGTGGTGGGCACCTGTAATCCCAGCTACTCAGGAGACTGACGCAGGAGAATCACTTGAACCCAGGAGGCAGAGGTT